TTAAACATAAATTAAGTGATTAATGTTGATTAATCACACCATTAGGGCTCAAAGCCGTGAAGTAATAAGGCAAATTCCCCAAATTCTTCACTAAGGTCGTAAGCTCCCTTTGCAAGAGGGAAATGAGTTTTCTTCCTTTCAAACTATGCCACATGTCAACTCAAGAAGGTGATTAGTCATTTAAGGGCTCATAAGATTCAAACAAGTGCCAAGCTAAGGATAGGCCACATCATGCCTATATCACACCATCTCCCTCTCGCCGTGTATATAAGGAGGAGTTGGACCGATTTTCCTCACCCATTTTCAGCTATATAATATCATCTCCCTCAGCAGCAAGTAACTCCATTTATTTCCCTCAACTCCTCATACTATCGCACGACATATATAGAAGAATCACACGACAAATTTGAGCATACGCGCGGCACACGCAAGGACAAGGAATCACGCCCTATTTTCCATTTCAGTCGAACGATTGACGAGGTAACTTCCTCCTCATCTTGAAATTTGGTTGGTAAGGTCATGTTAAGGTTAAGTGTTCGAAGCATGTTTGAGAATTTCTAGTAAAGCCGTGCTAAAGTCCGATTATGCTTAAAGTAAGATCATGATCAAATAACTTTCGTTTTACCCGGCAACTCTCGAACTATTAATGTTTATTTGTTCAGTTTAGCTTATTTCATGTCTAGTAAGTCCAGGTTAGTTGAGGCAAAGTGAGGTTTTGTCGATGAAATGGCCCAAGCCGTCGCTAGCGCTTATCGCGCGTGGCCACGGGCAGCCTCGGGTCATGTCTTATTGCCTTCAGTAACAATCATGTTCGTCCGCGTGTTTATGTCTTAAATTGCCTCAAAATAATGTTCATGTTAAGTTGTTCTGGAGTTGCCGAGGAAGAAGGTGTTTTGGCCGGGAGACGGCGTATAGCCGTCGGCGGCGCACGGCGCGCCCGCCGCGGCCTTTTCATGTTCATCGTGCAATAGTTACGTTTTCAAGTCATTTTGATAATTATATTCATGTTAAGTCAGAAAATGTTAAATGAAGTCAGTTCGGTCGGAATAATTTTGTCGGACGGCCGGCAAGGA